ATCGACAACTGGGAACCAGTGAACTGGTCTGCCTTCCGGCATCCATTCCACATCGGTACAGTACTTCTTGTACACCATGATGGGACTGCCGTCACGCATAAAGAATTTGAAGAGATGTGGTTTCGACACGCCGACGATGCTTCTGTCGACGTATCGATCCACTACCCGGCGCCAATCGACAATGTGATCAAGCTCAATGCACTTCGGCGGTATCTTGTGCGAAGACTCGATAAGCGAGAACAACTGCCTCAAGGTGTACGAAATTAAGTTCAGAATGCAAGTGGTTTGGATATGTCCGAGTAAACTCATTCAGTACGAATTTCAGTGGTTTGGATATGTCCGACTCCTCTCCCACTCGTTCAGTATGCAAGTGGTTTGGATATGTCCGATTAAACTCACACTTTTTCAGGCGAGAGTACAAATGCGAGATGATTCGGACTTATTCATCGTACAGTAAGAAATTAAGTTCATGGTCGGAACAAGAGCGAACACAAGTGCGAGTCAATTCGGTCTTATCCACTAAACACCAAGAAATTTCAAGTGCCAATAAATTTTCACTTCAAAGGAACATTTCAGTTACGCCGTGCAATAAGAAATTACCTTCGTGATTGGTTCAGTGGCGAGTTAACTCGCAAATACAAAAGGACTTCATTCTTTTGGGCCGAGAAGAGACGCGACTTATCGACTAAAGAGGAACAAATTTAGGGGGATGGTTGGTTGAAGAGCGAATAAATTCGCAYTTGCCAACGAGCATTTCCATTATGAAACTGGGACTTATAGACTAAAGAGTCACAAATTCAGGGGGATGGTTGGTTGAAGAGCAAATAAATTCGCACTTGCAAACGAACATTTCCACTATGAAACTGGGACTTACGGACTAAAGAGTAACAAATTTAGGGGGGGGGTTGGTTGAAGAGCGAATAAATTCGCACTTGCAAACGGGCATTTTCATTACGAAACTGGGGGTACAAGTGCGAGTTAATTTTTGGACACTGTCACGAGCCATCCGAAAATCCTCTTTAACAACACAGGGAATAACACATGGCTGTGGAGGGAAGGTAGGGCCTGCATACTGCCCATCGACAACTAGGAACCAGTAAACTGGTCTGCCTTCCGGCATCCATTCCGCATCGGTACAGTTCTTCTTGTACACCATGATGGGACTGCCGTCACGCATGAAAAATTTGAAGAGATGCGGTTTCGACACACAGACGATGCTTCTGTCGACGTATCGATCCACTACCCTACGCCAATCGACAATGTGATCAAGCTCAATGCACTTCGGCGGTATCTTGTGCGAAGACTCGATAAGCGAGAACAACTGCATCATGGTGTACACATCGTTGTCCTTCAGTTTTTTCGAGAAAACACTAAAAGTCGCGTCTATGTCGGTATGCGTGTGGCCAACGAGTATGAACCCCACTTCGACATCTTCGAAAATCCTGAATTTCACAAGAAGAGAGGCCAAACACATAAGGTATTGGTTTTTGTTTTCCCTCCAACAATTGTCCGCCTGGATTCGGAGGTGGCGTGGTCATTTCTGTCCCGACGTCTGCAACTCACATAGAGTCCGCACAACGCACGTCATGGTGCCATCGGAACCGTGCGCATAGAAAGGAAAATACGTGTAAACATAAATGGACGGTTTCCTCCCGTGAGCAACGACCGCGGTCAGGTTCGTTTTCATCATCATGTCGTGTCGATGATCCTTGGAGTAATTATACATGCCGATGTGAGGAATGGTTGTCTTTTTTTGATCCATTCCATCCACTATAAGACAGAGGTATTTCGCGGGGCTCAAAATGGAACGAAGTTTCCAGCCAGCGTAATCCGCACGGTGAGCGACCTGATCTAGTTGGTGTTTGCGGTGCTTTTCATCGAAACCCCTACGGTCACGAAGGAGAAAGGCGTTATCTCTACCCTGTCTAAGGCGGGCACACTCGCCACACTTTGTGAACGAGTTGGACTTGGCAAGGTCGGCATGCCACAAGTACTTCCTCCATATGGAGTAGAAGACTTGCTCCGAAACGACGGTCTGACCCGCCGCTTCCAAGTCCGCCTTGATGGACTCGTATACAAGAAGCTTCGTGAAATAAGCAGGGAGCCTCGGCGATGCACACACGACGTTTGCACTATACTAGTTGGACTCTTTCCAGACCACCGTCTAGGATAGTGAAGTTGTCGAGGGTTTGCATCCACCACTCGATCCTCCTTTCGAGGGACATTTCGTAATAGGTTTCACGCACCGGTTTGATATCGTCGATGGTCAAGACCCGAAAACACTTATTCTTACAACATTTGTGCGTCGGGACGAGCGCAATATTAGTTTCATTCAATCGACTTTTGACCCTCTTCGAATGTTCTTACGTTCTAACCGGCCTAATTTTTCAATTATATCTTCTCCTTTCTCCAGGTAGGGGATGAGACAAAACCTGAAGGATTGCTTCGGGAGTTCCAGGGCGACTTCTGGTCGGGGACCTATGCGCTGCACCTAGGAATTTTCATATGTCCGTGGGAGCGGTTCTCGGCAAATCGGATTGGGAGGATTCCGATGAACTGTAGAAATCTGTGTCTACAAAAACAGTCTGTCGATTTTTCATTGCACCCATGGCTGTCATCGACGGAGAGCCAACTTTCCCGGCTTCACATGCAATTCTCTCACCTATCTCGGCACTTTCACACGCGCGTTCCGTTGTCTGCTCCCTATCAGACCCGTTTCTACCAAATGCACTGCACTGTTCCCGATCAGATCCGTTTCTATCGGGCGTACCACAGAAGTCTGTATCCACCAACGACCGACTGTAGTCAAACGCTAGGGGTTGGGTAACTTCAATGCTTTCAGACAGTCTACCCGCTGTCCGCACGAGATCTGATCCAGTCGTTTCGGACATACCACATAAATCTGTGTCCACGAACATCCATCCACCGGGAAACGTCTCGACATCCCGAACACCCTCACTATCGGGGATTAGCGCTGTAGATACGCGCTGACCTTCAGGAACGTCGGTAAAGCGAACAAAACGACGCCGGGCGGACGTCGTAGACGAGCCTGAATGATTCGTCGGGGTCAACATCGAGAACTCCCTTTTCAAACCGCAATGCCGATCAGAGGGAGCTTCCGGGCTGCTGTCACAAGAACTACGTTCTCGAACATCGTCTTCTCCGCATTGTCGTGACGGTGGCGGTGACGTGACACAGTGGACGAATTGGACAGTCATTTGAAGAGACGATTCACACGGAAACTGTACCACAAGAAAATCACGTCAATGTATGGCGAGGTCAGGGAAATAAACAAGAGGGAGTAAACTCGCATTTCTAATATTTATCACAAAACAGTGAAAAAATAACATTTGAATCCATATCGTTTTGTCAGACCCTGATGTGAAGCTCAAGTGGTATCTCAAGTCCGACTCCTCTCCCACTCGTTCAGTATGCAAGTGGTTTGGATATGTCCGATTAAACTCGCACTTTTTCAGGCGAGAGTACAAATGCGAGCTGATTCGGACTTATTCAAGGTACAGTAAGAAATTAAGTTCATGGTCGGAACAAGAGCGAACACAAGTGCGAGTCAATTCGGTCATATCCACTAAACACGAAGAAATTTCAAGTGCCAATAAATTCGCACTTCAAAGGAACATTTTAATTACGCCGTGCAATAAGAAATTACCTTCGTGGTTGGTTCAGTGGCGAGTTAACTCGCAAATACAAAAGRACTTCATTCTTTTGGGCCGAGAAGAGAYGCGACTTATCGAYTAAASAGGAACAAATTTAGGGGGATGGTTGGTTGAAGAGCGAATAAATTCGCACTTGCAAACGAGCATTTCCATTATGAAACTGGGACTTATGGACTAAAGAGTCACAAATTTAGGGGGATGGTTGGTTGAAGAGCAAATAGATTCGCACTTGCAAATGAACATTTTCACTATGAAACTGAGACTTATGGACTAAAGAGTAACAAATTTAGGGGGATGGTTCGTTGAAGAGCGAATAAATTCGCACTTGCAAACGGGCATTTTCATTACAAAACTGGGGGTACAAGTGCGAGTTAATTCTGACCTATGGACTAAACAGGAACAAATTAAGGGGCTGGTTGGTTCAAGAGCGAATAAATTGGCACTTGTAAACGAGCATTTCCATTACGAAACTGCGGGTAGTACGAGCCACAGATCGTCGCAAGAGGGAAATAGGGAAAGATGGCGTATTGTCCATCTACCTTCTTCCCCGAAAATATGACCCGAATTAAGCTGCAATGAACGGACAGTGTATTCGGGGGAGGACTCTAACTCCATCCATCTCTCTTGGTGCGTCATCCCTCTCAATCGGTGCGCCATCTCTCTCCATGTATTTTCATCAATGCACCGTCTGCCCATCGCTTCGCAATCTTTCTCCAACGTCCGGTCATTACAGCTGAATTCGGGTCATCTTTTCGGGGAAGAAGGTAGATGGCGCAGGAAGGGAAAGAGATCGCGAACTGATTGGGAGATGTGTCGCAGCGAGAGAGAGAGATTGCGCACCGATGGAGAAACATGGCGCAACAATGGAGATAGCAGGCGCAGCGATGGTTAGCGATAGCACACCAATGGAGAAAGATGGCGCACCGAAGGAGATAGATGACGATGGAGATAGATTAGGAAAGATAGCGCAGCGATGGAGATAGATGACGAAGAAGCTAGATTAGGAAAGATAGCGCAACGATGGAGATAGATGACGAAAGGTCGTTAGAGATCGCGCACCGGTGGAGAGAGATGGAGAGAGGACGCGCAACAATGGTTAGCGATGCCGCAGCCATGGAGAGACAAGGCACAGCGATGACCAAGATTTGTTATTGCACAACGTCAGTTCCATCGAGTGAAACCTTCGTTAAGCATAGCTGTCAGTTGTTTCGCAAGATTCCACAGTGATGGGCGGCTGCACCGACGACGGCCTGAAACAACAATACAATGGCGATGGCGGGATCGCGTAGGAGTGATGGAGAGCCTCTGGCGCAGGGATGGAGGTTGTCCGGTGGTCGAGGAGAGATCGCGCAGTGATGGTGTGAGATGGAGAGTGATCACTCAGCGATGGAGGGAGATCGTGCGGCGATGGAGAGAGATCGTGCGGCGATGGAGAGAGAAATCGCGCAGCGCTGCGGTGGGATAACACTGGTCAGGGCTTCGATAGCGATGGAGAGCGCTGCGGTGGAGAGCGATGGCGCACCGGTGGAGAGCGATGGCGCAGCGATGGAACGCGTTACAATGGCCAGCGCTGCGATGGCAGCGATAAAGATGGCCAGCAATAGCGATGGCAGCGATAGCGATGGCAGCGATAGCGATGGCGCGCCGATGGAGAGATGGCGCAGCGATGGAACCAGCGTTGTGATGGCAGCGATGGAACCAGCGTTGCGATGGCGCAGCGATGGCCAGCGGTGCGATGAGAGCGATGGCGATTGTTAGCGCTGCGATGGTCAGGCGAGAGCGACGACTGCGATGAGCTAAGCGCATCGATGGCGATGGTGCATGGCGAGCGTTGGCGATGGCAATGAGCTAAGCGCATCGATGGCAATGGTGTTTGGCTAAGCTCATCGATATCTAACGTCGTTGATATTTGCAAAATGTCTGAATGACAGCGACACCGGAACTTAAAGATTTCCGGTGTTTTTTACCTCGGCGCACAACGAATCGCAGTGCCGCGGCGGGAAATAAACCGTCGCCTGGCCTCGGCGCGCAACGAACCGCCTCGACGCACAACGAATCGCCGCACGTTATAGATTCTTGCGCCTGACCTCGTGCGTGGGATCATTCTGATCGACGGTCCAGATTAGAACTGCGAAAATTACATTACCTGCCCCTTGTTTTCGGGAACTGTCACATCATTGCACGCCGGCGTTGACGGAGATCTTGAGGCCACTGGCATATCAGTGGCTCCGTTCATCTGCGCCATTGAAAATTGTTGATCGACGGCTGATAATTTTTGGTACCCCTTACCGTTTATAGGCCCTGGTGTTTTATGGGCCCAGGGGGGCGATATGCGAATCGATTCGGCCCCACCTTGATGGCGTTTTATGGGCCCAGGGGTGCGATATGCGAATCGATTCGGCCCCACCTTGATGGCGTTT